CTCTCTCTCTCTCTCTCTCTCTCTCTCTCTCTCTCTCTCTCTGTTTTTGTATGTCTTTGTGTCTGTCTGAATTCCTCATCACTTTCTCCCCTCGACAGCGCATCCGTCCCTCACCCTAAGGTCCGCCACGGGTTCTTTCAGCAAACAGTGGTCCTTGTGGGAGCACTCTCTCTGTCTCTGTCTCGGCTGTCTGTCTGTCTGCCTCTCTCTCTTTAGCCCTCTCTCTCTCTCTTTCACCCTCTATCTCCCTCCGTGCGCATCAGTGTGTCTGGTATCCGCGTCACTTTCTCGAGAGCGTCCGTCCCTCACCCAAAGATCCGCCACAGATTTCTCAGGCAAACAGTAGTCCTTGCGGCTGCACTCCCGGGCCCAGAGTTCGACCGACGGCCTGGGATATCCTTCGGCCGCGCAAGTGACCTGGAAAGTGTCGTTCCTTCGCCACATCCGCCGCGAAGGAGTCAGCCGGAAGGAGTCAACTCTCGCCCGGACTGGAATTTGCGCAGGAGTGAAATTGCGAGAAAGAAATTAAAAAAAAAAAACGTGATGTTGGAAATCATCATAGCGGTGATGATGATGATGTTGATGATAATGGTAATTAATGGATGATATCAGTAATTACAGACCATATCAATGGCAACAGAAAACGATAACAAACAATAATAATAATAATCGCCACCATCGTCGTAACTAGCGCCACTAGGATAGCAAACGATCGCAAAGTAGCCCTAACCTCATAGCCTTTATCTTCCATCGTAAAAGTAGCCCTAGCCCTACAGCCCTCCCTTTCTATTGTGAATGTAGGCCTGTCTTCCTTGCCGGCAAAGTAGCCCCATAGCCCTCTCCGTCCATCATAAAAAAAAGCCTAAGACTCCTTGCCCACAAAGTAGCCCTTGCCCGATAGCCCTCACTTTCCACCGTAAAGCGAAGCTGCTGATGCAAAGTAGCCCTAGCCTCCTAGCCCGCAAGGTAGCCTTAGCCCAGACCCCTCAATCTCCATCGTCTAAGTAGCCTTAGCTTCACACCCCTCACTTTGCATCGTAAAGTAGTCCATAGCGTAGTCCTAGGCCCATAGCCCTCATCTTCTATAGCCCACAAAATAGCTCTAGCCCCATAGCCCTCCATCCCGCAGAGTAGCCGTAGCCCCACAACCTGGGCTCCCTAGCCCGCAAAATAGCCTAGTCCCACAGCACCTTCCTTCGTTTAAGTAGTCCTAGCCCCATAGCCACCTACGTAGCCCTTGCCCTAAATTCCACTCTAAAAGTAGCCCTAGCCCCATAGCCCTAGCCCTAGCCAGTAGCCCTAATTGCAGTAGCCATTGCCCTAGCCCTTGCCCGGCCCGCAGTAGCCCTAGCGCCCTGCATTCCACTCTAAAAGTAGCCCTAGCCCCACAGCCCTCACCTTCCATCGTGAAAGCGAGTGTCACGCTATCGGCCACGCCCCCTCCTCCGACGGCGGCCTCGACCGTGTGGTCCCCGACGTCGGCGAGCGCGGGAGAGGAAATGCTGGCGAGGACTTCCCCTTCGGCGAAACCCGCGACGTCCAAGGAGTAGCGACCTCCCCCTCCCGACGGCGTGGCGGAGTCCAGTAAGACCTTGTCTGGAGTCGGGTGAAGTATTCGACGGCCGTTAGCGTATCCCTTTCCGAATGCTCTCCGCTGGCAAACTCCCTATCTTAGCTGGAGAGCATATCTCGAGCAAGACGTCTATTATTTTACGCAGCATAAGCGAACTATTCACAAAATATGTTGCAGCCAAACCATAGTCAATGAATATTATATTAGTCTTATGGCTAGTTTGTTAAAATGATACGAATCCCGACACAATTGATACTGATATATACGGACATGCATATACATAAAAATAGATATCTGTCTATGTATCTGATAAGTACACATTCATTTTTCGATCTATCTGATACGTTTATCTATCTGTCTATGTGGTAAATATGCATTTATTTCTGTGTATATGCGTCTGTGTAATGACTATTCATGGGGTCGAACCTCGCAGAATTCTAATAAACTGGCCTTAAAACTTGAATATAATATTCATTAACTATGGTCTGGCTGTAATATGCTTTGTGTATATTTCGGCTCTGCTGGTAACATAATAGACGCTTAGCTCTGCATATGTTTTCCAGCTTAAAAAAAAAGTCCGTATAATGAACAGTCATTGGTAGGGCCTCGCACAGTTGAACGAAGCGGCTGTTCGTTCAGACTTTACCTCCTTTCCTCCAGATGAATTCCGGCTTGGGGTATGCTCTTATGTGAAGGGGCCACACCACGCTGTCGACCTCTTCGCTGCTGTCCCTGTGTATGTTTGGAGAATCTGTTTTCAAATACACGTACGTCGTGTTCTTTGCTGGAAAAATGAGAAAAACAAATCAGAAGAGGTGGGCTATACAAAAATGGCTGTAAGGTAGTTTGTGTTTTAGCATTCGTTGTCTTGACTGTCATTATTTTCAGGATGTACTCATGTTCCACTCTCTCTCTCTCTCTCTCTCTCTCTCTCTCTCTCTCTCTCTCTCTCTCTCTCTCTCTCTCTCTCTCTCTCTCTCTCTCTCTCTCTCTCTCTCTCTCTCTCTCTCTCTCTCTTCTCTCTCTCTCTCTCCTCTTCTCCTCTCTCTCTCCTCTCTCTCTCCTCTCTCTCTCTCTCTCTCTCTCTCTCTCCTCTCTCTCTCTCTCTCTCTCTCTCTCTCTCTCTCTCTCTCTCTCTCTCTCTCTCTCTCTCTCTCTCTCTCTCTCTCTCTCTCTCCCCACTCCTCACCAATAACGTTGACGTGAACTTCTTCCGGCTCGACCGCTCCGCCATCAATTTCGAGGAGACAACGGTACAAGCCGGTGTCAGTGTCATGCGCTTCTGTCACATTAACGATGCTTCTGAGCTTATAACTTCCATCTCTACGTTGTAACCTCACATTTCCAGTCTATGAGAGGAAGAGAGGAAGGGTAGGCCTATGGGAGGTTGGGATTTAAAAGACGGGGATAGGTAGAGAGATAGATGTGAGATAGCTGGTAGGCCTGGTGGTTTTATAGGGGGCGGGGTTTCAAGGAGGGCGTGGCTAGACTTTGGATGATATACAGGCTCCTTCTATTACTACATAATAGTGATGATGATAAAGGCATTAGTGATGATCAGGTGATGGTGATGGTGGTGATGATTATGACGACGGTGATGGTGGTGATGATTATGACGATGGTGATGGTGATGATGATTATGACGATGGTGAGGATGATCACATGATGATGATGATGAAAATGGTGATAGCAGTGATGATGATGATAATAGTGATAGCAATGATGGTAATATGAAAATGATGATAGCAGTGATGATGACAATAATAATGACAGTGATGACAATGAGGATCACACACATCTATTACGTATCTGCAGTCTTACCTTATTGGCCAAGACCGGAAGCTCCCACTCTAGCTGAGGGATCGAATCATGATCAGAAATAGTTACCCTGCACTCGAGGGAGAAGGGATTCCCGTTTTCTATGTCAACAAATATCCCCGATGCGTTCCTCTGCCAAGCTCCTTGAATTTCTAGATCCATCTGGTGGGAGAGCCAGCGTTTGGCTGTGGGCGGCGATGGGAGGGCGGGCGTGAGCGTCGGCGCGGGCGTAGGATGACAGCCGAAGACATCACGTTGGGCGTGAAGGAGGAGAAGCGGATGTTAATACGCGTCGGGCTGTTGTCGAATTGTCATCCTTTACCACTTTTGAGTTTCAACGTCACACTGATTACCACGCTTCGTACTCTAGATAGTAGAGAATAGCATAGAGAAGAGAGAAGCTCGGCTGAACAGAAAATTCGAGGGCAACAACACTGAGCAGAAAGACTAAACTCAAACATGAAAAATAAAAATAGATAAAAGTGTACACCTGGCGAAATTTTCACGGCCGCCCAAGGTCATTGAGCTGGGGAATATCTCTTAAGACTGGGATCATTTAATTATAATGAAATATATATATATTATTAAATCAACCATGTTAAAAAAATCAAACAAACTTCCGTCAATTTTCCTAAAAAAAAATTCTAACAGACCGTCAATTTTGTTTTAAAATTCTAACAAACTTTAGGCCTTTTTTCCGGTGCCAAGATATATGAGTTTACGTGTGCATATTCAATTATACATACATAATGAGTAAAATGATTATGTAAAACCTAATATAAATTTTCATAATATTCTTTTATCCATTCGAACATATTCTGTGAATAAAACATGAGATACTTCCCCGTATATTATTCGTCATGGAACACTTTTGGAGGCCTGAATATTGCCCAAGATTAAAGCATAAATGATATAAGAGAAACAGTAACAAGCCTTACATGACATATCGCATAAAAATGTACACATACGAAAGATAAACCTGAACCTCGCTCTTCTTAGCCGTAGCCCTATTAATACGAAAGCATATAAACCTTAAACTCTATATTGTTATATATGATAGTAGTGTATATTTTTAATATTATATTTCTGCATATATATTTATACACATATACATACATAAATGCATATATACATACATATATATATATATTATATATAATATATATATATATATATATATGCATGTGTGTATACATGTTTAAATATATATACGTGTGTGTGTGTGTGTGCATACTGTATATATAGGTATGTATGTATGTACACATTTCTGTATGTATATTTATAATATATATACATATATGCACACATACACGCGCGTGCGCGTAAATCCTTTAAATTAGTACTTGGTGCAATAATATCCTCATAAACATCATCAAAGTTACTAATCGTGCACCATACAGTGCGTCATCAACCTTGAACCCATTTTCTTCCAGTTTTATCAGCCAGGTACAGGTTGCTTATATATGACTCCGCCCCCATAAATAAGGGCGGAGTCATAGGAAACTGTAATACTACACCTCTTGGCGCCGGAAAAAAGGCCTTTTGTCAATTTAACTTTAAGATCCAAACTTCGTCAATCTCGATTTAAAAATCTAACAAGCTTCGTCTTTAACAACTAAAATGTGATGCCTAAGAAGTGAAGAAGCAGAACTTCCGTTTCAACTTTGTCATCGAATGTTAATGCCCTACTTAACTGTCGGCTCACAGCTCAAACTAATTAAATCGATAAAAGTATACAAAACCATCAAACTAGATTAGAACAAGAGTGAATTGGTCACCTTACGATATAACCTGCCGCCCGTAATTCCCTTTCTCATATCATTTCAGCTTTGATTATCATGTTGACTTTATATTTCGCTTTTCGGTAGAACGGAAAAGATGCTATCCATACACGTTTACTTGTCCTCCCTTGCTCAGTCATGTAATATCTTGTGTAACATAAAATCTGTGAATCTGAGAAATAAACAGACCCCCCCCCCCCCTAAAAAAAATAATAATAATTTTATTATATAGCAACTTTTCCTCCTAAAGGCCGTGTCACACTAGCACTTTTGCCGCATTACTTTTCCGCACCACGGAAATCGCGGTCATTTTGGCTCGCGCAGTCACACTATCGATGAGAACCACGGACACAGTCCGACCAAAATTCCAAACACAGAAAGATGGGTTTAACCCCCGCACAGGTTCTGGCGATGATGGACGTGATTATATGGCGACGATTTAATACGAAACAACGAATGCGTTATGCTAAATAAGGGCGTATTCTCGCTACTCTCATCTGGACACAAATGTAAACAAACAGGCGAGTAGCTAGTTACAAACTTGTATCTGTTTTTATTAAATACAAGAGAGAATTTTGCCAATTTACAAATATTATTTACAGTTTAGACTGTCCTTTTGAATCGTTAAATATTATAAATACTTTTTTTACACTACCATAACGATTATCTATTATAGCTTATGATTTGAACCAAAAAAAGACAACGGAAACTCGCCAGCGAAAACGATAATTATAGTTTGACTGGAATGTATCGCATTCATCCAAAATACAAGCAGTAGCGAGAAAAAAAAAAAAAAAAAACACGGAAACGTGAAAGAACCACGGAAATTGTGCTAGTGTTTAAGCTTAAGCTCTCTCAAGGATGCTAAAAAGGGCATGCCGATATTCCCCTCCGCGTAGTTACTATCTTATAAGAAAAGGAGTAGAAATCAAAGAGAAACAGGAAAATGTATTCATATCCATATTTTTCACTATTATTCAAAAAGGTAACCAGCGCCAAAGGAGAAAGGCAGATAAACAGAAATAAAATGTTATTAATGCGACACAGATTATATAAAAGAGCGCTGAAATATGATACAAATGATTTAGAATAGCTAATATCATGCCACGAATAATATAAAGTAATACATTTTAGCATGATATAAATAATGCAATATGGATATGTGATTTAGGGCTTTACCCTCTCATTCGCTTCGGAAAAATTGCTCTATTTGATAACTTGGTGTTCTCGTCCGATTGCACAGTCAAGGTCCAGGTCTTAGCTGCTTGGGGGGAATGGTGAGGGAGTGCGTGTGAATGTGTGTGTGTGTGTGTGTGTGTGTGTGTGTGTGTGTGTGTGTGTGTGTGTGTGTGTGTGTGTGTGTGTGTGTGTGTGTGTGTGTGTGTGTGTGTGTGCAGAAACTATTGCAGCCACTTATTTGATAATTATGAAAATGACAACGGCACCGAAAGAATTTGGTAACTGCAGTATCTTTAAAAATGCCTGTAATTAACGGGTTATTCCACCGAAATGCAAAGTCTTCTCTGCATATCTTAAATTCGACCAACATGTAAGCGTTTTACCTATCTTCCGCTCCGGGGGGTGAGCGCAGCGGCCTCTGAGAGCCGCCACGAGGCGTAGCCGTTGGTCTGTCCCGTTCAGGTAGAACCGATATTCCTGGTTCGCCTCGAGGGCAAGAACCGACTCGTGGGGCCGATCCCAGCCCTCCCCGGGGCCGCCTTCCCGTTCGCCGCTGCAGCCGGGGGGTTGAAGGACCTGCAGCACGGGGTCGGGCGGTTCGGCCTTGAAATGTCTCGTGAGAAGGACCCGAAAGCCGCGGGCGCAGCCCTCCGGCCTAGCGTCCTGCTCGAACACGCGCCCCCACGAGATGACTCGGCAGGTGTTGAGGCGCGCGCGCTCGGAGGAGGACACGTCTGGGCACGGGCCGGGGCCGGCGCAGAGTCCTGTGCAAAGGAAGAGCAGCAGAAGAAGGGCAGGCACGAAGTGAAGGGAAAAGGCCTTCTTGATACGCGTCCTCTGCCCCATGGTATTTTGCTATTCTTTCTTTTTTCTCGATGTCGTCGGAGGTCTGTCAGACACGGCGCTGGCTCCCAGTCTCGGCCGCCGCCACAGCCGCGCTGAGGCCTCGGGACCGGCAGGATGTCCATAAAAGTATCACGGATGCCACATATTTTTAAAGTCTTAATGAGAAGTGCAATTATAAAGAAAATGACATTGTGACATTAGTGATTAAACAATAATTACAGATAAACTAATGAGGTAAGGAGACTGATAAACTTGAACAAATCATAATAAAAGGCTAGACCAAATATGGCTGCATAACAAAGA